GAAACATCTCAGAGGTCAAATAAAGTGAGATTTAAACGATTTAAATTTTTCAAAAAATTTAAATTGTTTCTAAATGTATAATCAAGTACTATATTTGTATTGAGACAGATTGAGAACATCAAAAAATGTGTTTTGAAATCTCTCAAAGGTCAAATTGAGTGAGATTTAAACGATTTAAATTTTTCAAAAAAATTAAATTGCTTCCAAATGTAAAATTAAATACTATATCTGTGTTTAGACAGATGGAGATCATTGTACAAAGTGTTTTGAAATTTCTCAGAGGCCGAATAAAGTTAGATTTAAACAATTTAAATTTTTCAAAAAATTTAAATTTCATCCAATTAAAAAATCAAAGATGAAATCTGCATTTTGACAGATAGAGAACACCATGCAATGTGCTTTGAAATATCTCAAACATCGAATAAAGCAAGATTTGAACGATTTAAATTTTTCAAAAAAATTAAATTTCATCCAAATAAAACATCAAAGATGAAATTTGTATTTTGACAGATGAAGAGCACCAAACAATGTGTTTTGAAATCTCTCAAAGGTCAAATTGAGTGAGATTTAAACGATTTAAATTTTCAAAAAAATTTAATGGCTCCCAAATGGCTCCCATGGGATTCTGATATTTGAAGGCCACAGCAAGTGTTTTCTTGATTTTTGTAAAGTCTTGTGATTTCAAATTGTCCAAGAGTTCTATAGAATTTTTAAGTATCCACATCTGATTTACACCACTTCTTGAATATATTGTTGCACAAAACTCTTGAAGTTTTTCCTTCATTACTCTCAATATTTTAGTGAGAAGTAACGAAAAAGTCTTGGTTGAACATTTACTGGAACCTGCAATGTATCTTTGTTTGTAAGGACTATAGCATCACTAACTTCAACTATCTCTAAATAATAACTTTTGGACAATTTGAAATTACAAGACTTTACAAAAATCAACAGCATAAAAACTTACGACTTTTCAACTTTATACACAACAATTCCCCACGACAAATTAAATTCCACGCGTTTTGATATCATTGACAGCTGCTTCTTCAACAAAAATGGAACTCGTAAGTTTACCTCGTCATTGGTCATTTGAAAAATTATTTTGTTTAAACACATTCTGATTGCACACATAATTTGAACAAAATAAATATTTTGTTAAAACAGATTCTGATTGCACACATAAGTACTCTGAAGTTGACATCAAGAAGATGCTTGAGTTTCTGATTGACAATATCTATGTGGTTTTTTGAGACCAAGTATTCCAACAATCTATTGGAATTCCCATGGGTACAAATTGCGCTCCGTTATTAGCAGACTTATTTTTATATTCATATGAAGCAGAATTTATGCAAAATCTTTTACGTGAAAAGAAGAAAACACTTGCTGGCCTTCAACTCGACATTTAGATATATCGACGAAGTATTGTCAATTAATAATGATAATTTCCATTCCTACGTCGACACGATATATCCTGGTGAGCTTAAGATAAAAGATACCACAGAGTCCGACACTTCTGCTTCATACTTGGATATTTTACTTGAAAAAGACACAAATGGTAATCTAACAACCAAGCTATATGATAAACGTGATGACTTTAACTTTTCTATCGTCAACTTCCCTTACTTATGCAGCAATATACCTTCATCACCTCCATACGGAGTATTTATATCTCAGTTGATTCGATACGCAAGAGCATGCTCTACGTATGAACAATTTCTTAAACGAGGTAAATTATTGACATGCAATTTGATGAAACAAGAATATCAACAGTCTCGTTTAAAGTCATCATTTCGTAAATTCTATGGTCGATACAATGACTTTGTCAGCAAATACAATTTATCATTGAATGAAATGCTAACTGACCTTTTTCATACCAACTGTTAGTCCATTATTTTTACACTGAATTGACCACGGATTTTTTTCCGTTGTTTCCTGATTATGACAACGAGCACACGGCGAGTGTGACCGGTCGGCAGGGGATGCTCACTCCTCCATGGCACCTGGCTCCGGGGCCATAAAACTTAGCCAGTTCACTTTTGAGATCAATCTAAAAATCTCAGATTCCGAGCTTAACTTAGACCATCTCACTTTTAGTGTGCCATAAAGGGAGATTGAGCTCATTTTAAATTTTCTAACTTGAGACAGAAACTGAGACTAAAAATAAGCAGGATATCAAATGCATTGTGGGATATTGTTTACATGTGACAGTGCCACGCCCACTAGGTATTGCGCAATCTTTTTGAAAAATAAAAGTATCATCAAACTTTTCATTGTTTTCTTTTCGTAAGAGTTTAATTGTTACGTCATATTGACCATTCTGACGTAATTAACGTTATCCCTCAGCGTCCGCCAGCGTCCGTTTTCCAAACGTAAAAATGGCTGAGGAGGACATTGCATTTTTGATTACCAAAAACGCAGAGGGCAGTAATGAGCCCTTTTGGACCAAATTAGAAAAAGAGGTATTGATAGAGGAAGCATCAAAGCGGGGCGATGTCTTGGACGGGAAGTTCAAAGGGGCACAGTCCGGAAAGGCGGAGAAGAATAGAGCCTGGGAAGAAATCACCGCTGCAGTCAACGCATAAGTTCATAAGTGATTTTAACATTTTTAAGAAATGCCTGAACATAATTTTATTCACAAAGACACTTGATTATCGTAATTTTATATTGTACTGCCCATGTAAAAATAAGCCCTTTTTTTAAACAAGAAATTGCGAATGACTAACAATTTAAGCTTCTTTTTTATGTTTTCCATCTTTCTTTCGTAAAAGTTTTGCATATCATCGATCTATTTTTTGAAAATTTCCTGTAAAAGAATCTTATGAAATACGTATTTAAAAGTACAGTGTACATGCAGGTTTATATAGAAAATTAAATAATTTGCGAAATCATACTAATTTACGCTGAAAAGTGAATAAAGCAAATCGCGAAAAACAAAACAAAAAAACATTAAGTGCTTTTGGAAATACTTATGTCGCATGAAATTTCTGAAGCAAATTCAACTATATAGGACTCTCTCATAAATTCGCTAGCGATAAATCTCAAGCAATTTTCAAAATGGCACACTTTCTGGTTTTTTTTCCCAAATCCAAAAATAGTTTTGTTTATAAATTACGTCACACGTATCCAAGTCGGTGTCTTATTTGTTCGCTTCCCATACATTTTGGTACAAATGACTTCTATCGCTTGACTAGCAGGGTCGTCTTACAAACGAAATTTTGATTAAGACCCAAATGTTATACAACATGTACCGGTTAATAACAAGCCTTTTGAAACAAACACAAATATTGCAAGATTTTGATCCTAGTTATTATTTTAAGAATTTCTACTTCAATTAATTAAACGAAAAATAATTACAGAGAAATTTATTATAAATCATCATGATTATAAATAAAGAAAAATATCTGTGTTAGGTGATTCTGTTTTAACGAAAAAAAAATCCTTAATTTCATTCTGTTTATCGAATTTTCACATTTCTTTTTACTCAGAATTTCCACAAAGATGTTCAGTAGAAAGTGTATATGTTTGTCACAGGGTGACAATTACTTGTTTTTATTTTATTTAGTATAATTATTTAGTACAGCTGGTATAGTAAGTCAGTATAGTAGATAGCTGTAGTAAATTCCTTCATTCATTCATTCATACCTGGTCATTCATTGTCATCGTGTTTGTATTGTATTCTGGTTTGTCCGGTGTTCCGTGTCACGTGAGTGTTTGGTTGTCACGTGATTGTCTTGTGGTTTATTTTTATCCTAGGTGTGAGTTGTAAAACCAGTATGTATGGGGTGTGGTAGTTATGTACGCATGTGTGAGTCCTGGTATATATACTTATGCACGGACTATTCCTTTTGAATGTTGACGATACATTGACGATAGTTTGGATGTTCTCCTGCGAGAAATCCACGTGAGCAGTTTGTCTAAGAAATTCCTTACGGAATCTTAGTGCCTTAATTGATGTAACTGGTAAGAGTAAATTAATATTAAATCTTATTCTTATTTTAAACTGTTCTAATTAAATATATATTAGTGTGTGTGAATTTGTACGAGTGTGTCATTTTCATTGCAGGTCACCTTCATTCGTACGTTCGTTTGTACTTCATTACTTCTTTTATCATCGTTCCTGCAAATTGTCATCCAATAAATATATGAACCTTTATTGAGGAACTGTGTTGAATTATTATTATTCCCTGAGATTGGGAGACCCGTGACATGTTCATTTAATTAATTATTATATATATATATATATATATTTTTTTTTTTATCAATTTATGATACTATTTATGATAGGGTACTCTACATTTTGCCCCCCCCCTATATATGAAATTACATGCATATTTTCATAATGAGATAACGTATGAATGCAAATCTCATAAATGTTAATTCTATAATGAGATGAAGATTTTATCGTACTCATTTAGAAAAGGGGCCACAAAGAGAAGAACCATGAAACAAGTGAAAAAACAATGGTCAAACATGAAGCAACGAGGTAATCATTAATTATGTCTTTATGGTCTGAAAAAAAAGATCATATATGTTGGCATATACCGGTATGCAACACACCTAAACGAAGAATTTAAGATAGATTAATTTTAAAATGATAAAGGGGGTTATAAACTTACCTGTGGCTATATTTCAGTCATTATCAAGACCGTTTAGCATTTAAATATACTCGATTTTATTGTAATAAATTATTTCCATTTTTGCAGCTAAAAAACTAAATAGTCAGGGGAAGTATCCCGTGACAGGTGGAGGTCCAAAGCCCCCTTTTCCCTCCCCTATAGATGAGGCTGTGCTCTCCCTCCTAGCCGGAAGACCCTCCCTGGAGGGTATTGAGGGAGGATTAGAAACTTCAACACAAAGCGCATCAACTTCATGTCATTCAGGTAAACAAAATCTTAAATGAAAAATAAATAAAAATGTATTTGTATAAATTTTGCTGAGTGAGCTAACAATACGCTTACATTATGAATTTATTTACATATACATATCCAGGTTTTTTATTTTTTTTTTTTACAACAGTCAGTGTCCAACATAGAAGAGAACATTGAAGAACAACCCTGACCTTCAAGCACAGCACAGTCCAATACTTTCCAGACAGGGACACCTAAAGATCCATCCAGAAAAAGAAAAAATAACGTTAATGACATTCATGTAGAGGTGTTATGTTCTGAAAAAGAAAAGCTTAAATTACAAATAGAATACATCAAACTAAAAATGAAAAAAGTGTCGTCCGAAATTGAGTTGATTGAAATGAAAAAAAATTCTCTGATGTCCTCCAATTGCCTATCACTTTCACAGTTTACTGAGCTGTCAATCAGTCACTCTACGATAAATGGACCAATTAAAGATATAAAACGTGAAAAAGATAATTCATCGCAATGTGTTTGGGACTCTTTTACGGCTGAGAATTCCATATTGAAATAGTAAATATATGAAGCGACATGAAGATTTGAAATTGAATTAGTTTTTCCAACATAACATTATTTTCTTATCGAAATTTAAACTGCTTATATATTGATGTATAGGTAAAAATTTACAAAACCATGTGACTGCATATATGTTGAGATTTAGGGTTGAAATCGGTCATAAAATCTATAGTCAAGATATATTAGAACGGTATAATTTTAAGCGACATAAAAAAATCTTTAATTGGTCGTGTTTTTGTAGATTGACTGGAGTGTAGATTCTCAGATATAGTAAGAGATATTGTAATGAACTTTCTGCTTTACTGTGTCTTTACATGTGTGAGGAATTCTGAGGAGTAATAACAGTTTTATTAAATATACACTTGTAGTAGGCCTAGATTTCACGTCTTATTCGATATAGTATGTTAATTCATCCTTGTGTTTTAATAGATTTCCATATTTATCACTCTCAGTATTTGTCATTTGTTTTTAGCTCACCTCGACGAAGTCGAGATGAGCTTATGCTATACCCCCGGCGTCGGCGTCGGTGTCGGCGTTAGCGTCGGCGTCCCAGGTTAAAGTTTTAGGAGCAAGTCCATTCCCAAGTAACTATAAGCCCTACCTGAACCAAACTTGCATGGATAATACATCTAGGGATGTACACTACCAGACTTGCTTCGGATGCTGGATCTGACCTACATTTTCTAGATGAGTGCCCAGGTTAAAGTTTTTGGAGCAGGTCCATTCCCAAGGAATTATAAGACCTACCCGGACCAAACTTGCATGGATGATGCATCTACGGATGTACACTACCAGACTTGCTTCGGATGCTGGATCTGACCTACATTTTCCAGATGAGTGACCAGGTTAAAGTTTTTGGAGCATGTCTATTCCCAAGGAACTATAAGCCCTACCTGTTCCAAACTTCATTGGATGATGCATCTAGGAAAGGACCCTACAAAACTTGCTTCGGATGCTGGATCTGACCTACATTTTTCAAATGAGTGACCAGGTTAAAGTTTTTGGAGCAGGTCCATTCCACAGAAACTATAAGCCTTATTTGGACCAAACTTGCATAGATGATGCATCTAGGGATGGACACTACCAGACTAGCTTCGGATGCTGGATCTGACCTACATTTTCATTCCCAAGTAACTATAAGCCCTACCTGAACCAAAGTTGCATTGACGATGTATCTAGGGATGGAAACTTCCAAACTAGTTTCGGATGCTGGATCTGACCTACATTTTCATTTCCAAGTAACTAGAAGCCTTTTTTGGACTAAACTAGCATGGATGATTTATCTAGGGAAGGACACTACCAGACTAGCTTCGGATGCTGGATCTGACCTACATTTTCATTACCATGTAACTATAAGCCCTACCTGAAGCAAACTTGCATTGATGATGTATCTAGGGATGGACACTACCAGACTTGCTTCGGATGCTGGATCTGACCTACATTTTCATTCCCAAGTAACTATAGGCCCTAGCTAAACCAAACTTGCATGAATGATGTATCTAGGGATGGACACTACCAGACTTGCTTCGGATGCTGGATCTGACCTACATTTTCATTCCCAAGTAACTATAAGTTCTACCTGAACCAAACTTGCATGGATGATGCATCTAAGGATGGACACTTTCAGACCTGCTTCAGATGCTTGATCTGACCTATATTTTCCATACAAGAGACCAGGTTAAAGTTTTGGGAACAGATCAAGTCCTTGATATCTGCAGTATTAACAAAGTTATGAATATTTGTCAACACTTTACATGTTTTTCACGCTACACGCGTAGAAATGTGTATATGCCATGTAAGGGGTTAAACACAACTTGCAAGAATATTGTTGGGATGAATACTAAATATTAAGAAAATATGATGTGAGATTTCCATTACATAAACTGATAACATTCGTCGAGGTGAGCTTCGTAATCTTTGATTACCTATGTTTTGTTATAAGCGCTTGAATTCCTTTTTAACTGTTTGCTTTAGAAAACAGTTAAATTATACTCACTCTCAGAAGTAGTTCAAGGCTATGTGGTCACGTACAGTTTTACCATCGCCTCCCAAGTCTTCCGCCTGATCCCACTCATCATTTATGTCGATGTCCGCATTTGGCAAAATGTCTCCACGCATTATGCCAATATTGTGTAAGACACAAGAGGCAATGATGGCTACACAGGCCCTCTGGGGTGAAACTCGTAATTCAGTATGTAAACAAGAGAACCTGCGCTTAATGATGCCGGATGTCTGCTCTATCAACACTCTTGTCCTACAGTGGGCAGTAGTAAACCGTTGCAAATGAATCTCAGATGGGTTCAGGTATGGCGTCATAAGGTAGGGTTTGAGGGCATACCCCGAATCTCCCAAAAGTATTCCTTGTATGTGTCATGCAGTGAAAATTTAAATGAATTTTTTTTTAATAAATCAAGCTGAATATAAGATTTTTGTGTGTGTGTGTGGGGGGGGGGTGCAATGATTTTAAAAATAACTAAAATTTGGTATGTTTGGCATTAACTTTCATTTTTTTCATTATACTAGATTGCATGAATTATTTTGCTGATTCCCTGAAAAATCAGCATAATTTAAAGACTGTTTCCCTACAAAAAGGTGCGTCAGTTTGATGAACTGAAACACACCTATTCGGAAGCATAGACATTACGTATTTTTCAAAATATTTTTTTTTCCAAAACAAGAAAAATAAATTATTTATAAATAACAAGAAATTGCCATTTTCAATCAAGAATCTATGAGAAATTGATTAACTCATAACAATGTACCATTTTCAAATTCTCTACATAACGCAGATTCTTTGAAAATTCTGGAATCATGGACTGATCCAGGCCATTTGGCCACAACGTTTGTGATTGAAAAATCAGGGCCACATATCATCTGCAATATCGTATTAGATTATATTAGTTCTTAAATTCATTTGCAAATGGATCGAAGAACAAGTTCTTCCTGAAATTTACAAAGGACCACAGCTATAAACATTAAACAAGAAGTACTACATCGGAAATACCGATTACTATATACCCTCCCACTTTTCAGGCGGGGGTATAAAAATGTTAAATGTAAGTTTTAGATTACCCTTTTTGTATTACCTGTACATTTAGGGAATGGAAACCTTTCCTGTTTATAAAATCAGCCTCGTTTTCCTTCGGAGCTTTTATCTTAATTTGAGTGCCATCCACACACCCTACCACATTTGGGAATCCTATGAACCAAATACAGATAACTTTTTTTTTTTAAAATTCTCTCAAAATCAGTTTGACATATTTTAACGGCACTACATGGTACATGGGGCCAGAAAAAAAGAAAAGAAGGAAAGAAAAAGAAAAACAAAGGAAAGAAAAAATTCAAAACAACACACAAGCTGATTCTTGAAATTCCAAATTGTTTTCTTTTTTAAATCTTAAAGTTCAACATGTTTAATACGTAATTAAAAATAATATTTATTATTGGCTTATAAAAAAAGTTTTCTTAAGAAAGCTAGAGCAATCCTAACATTACAATATATTCGTAAATTCAATTCAATTCAATTATTGACCAATTAAGGGCCCTCGTGGGGCAAAAAGAAAGTACATTGTTAAAATGTATATTATGATTATCATACACATGCAATACAATATACATATACATAAATATCCCCATATATGCGTAAATGCATTATTATTCGGAGGTATGTACGTGAAAACATTCAGAATCTCGGAATAAATTAATCATGTTAATAGCAACAGTTACTCCGTTTTTCATCAACACTTTCTTTTGAAAGTGATCTTTCTTTTGATGTTTGTGCCCCTAAAGAGTAAGTAGACTGTGTAGATTTGTCATTTGTCTTGTAATTGATTATTATACATAATGCTTTCACACTGTTAGCGATGCTCATGCCTGTTTTCATGATCTGAAATGTGCGTTTGTTATTTTGTTTGAGTACGGCGTGCCTTAAATGTCATTATTTGATAATCGGATATTAAGCGATAGTATGATTATTTCATATTGTCGTGAGATTATATTATGTAATTCATGTTGTCCTAACATGTATTTTTTATTTTTCAGTTTCCACCCTGAGAGAGGTTTGTGGGTTAGACCAATAAAACTTTTCTGATAAAATTTTGTTGCGTCGTGAACACTTACATTACATAAGGGGGGTTTTTGCTTGGAACGGCTCATATAATGATAGATATTGATGAGAACATCTTTTGACTTTAACCTATCCTTGACCTCACTTTTCTTATATTAGTCTTTAGCTCAGGTTTAAAGATATCAATCAAGATAGTGTTGTCAAACTTCATATGCTGATACATACTAAAGAGAGCCATTAAATTGCATCAACATTTTTGACCTTGACCTTTCCTTTGACCTTGACCACACTTTTATGAAATTAGTATTTAGCTCATCCAAGATATTTTTATCAAACTTAATTAGCTTATATATAATCACCGTATACAACGGGTAACGCGGGGGAGTCGCTAAAAAGTATGGGGGAGTCGTTTTCAACGTATGGGGGAGTAGATTTCCACCGCTTCGGAGTCGGAACAGATGTAAGTCACGTCTTTTTTCGGTATTTATAAGATGTATTTACAAAAAACACATATCCCACGGAAGATGGCAATAGTTAAGCTTTATTTTCGTCATTTGTCCGGCTGTCATATACGTCTAGTTTTCTCAAACACTTCGAAACTATTTGACAGTTTTCATGTTTACGTTGATTGGATGGTAAAAACATGCATGATTTGTACAATCTACGGCTTGCGTATGGAGTCTCACAGTTACAACAGCGAGAGAAAACGTTTATCTTTTAAATGCAACAACTTAAACTTGACGAGACTTTATAAAAATAAATAATTAATTATTTTCTCCTCAGACAGTAACGGTTACGTAGGGGGGAGTCGTTTATGGGAAAGCACATTGCAGGGGGAGTCGCAAAATAAATTCAAATGCATACTTGGCATGCCAAGAAATCTCGTTCGATTTTGACAGCGATGGAGTCAATAAAAGTGTAATTGATGCAAATCACCCATATTCCCAAAACGCCGGCAAGACAATTTACGGCAGCAGACTTCTTTGGGGTGGATCCTAATTTCTTAGCTTTCTTAGTTAGAGAATAAATAAATGTCTACCCCAGGAAGTAGTCCCTTATGCCCTAAATAGTTCCTGTCAAAAATCTTTATTTATTTACAAAATACGTAAAAATGTCAGATGCACTGGTACCCAAATTTATATTTTAAAAAAGTTGGATTGAAGAAAATAAGAAAAAAAATCAACAGAAAATATTCACTTTAAAATGAAAATGTTTACATAGCCAATCGGGTAACGTCTACCCATTCAGTACTCGTCTCCATCTTGTTCAACCAGGAAATGATGTAAGCGTCCGGGAATTTGGTACCCTTTTATCTATATTTCGACGCGGTACTTCCACAACTACCAGATGCCAATTTGTACTAAGAAAAAATATTTTGAAATTGAATTACGTAAAAAAATGAAATACAGCTTATTTTTTTAAAGAATTACTTTACTATAATTAATTTCCTTCCCTATTTTTAACTCCCCCCCCCCCCCAAAAAAAAAAGACAGGGGGGAGGGGCAAATCTTCTAAATAATTAGTATTCTACCTATAATTTAAACCAAGTAAATTTTAAGATCCCTCCCTCAAACCTGCTGACATTAATTGCTTGGCACACATCTCCCCGGGGAAGAATCACAGATTAACTTTTATTGAGTTTGCTATATGGAGCGAATGCTAAGGTTTTCTTGGCATGGTGTTGTTTTCATCTCTTATATACTGTCAATACCTTTTTATTTACTCGTAGATATCTATAAATCTATGTTTGGTTATTACTTTACAATTTGAAGTTACGAAAAGAGATTTTTCTGTGGCTTTATCAATTCTAGAAAAAAACAACAATATAGATTACATGAACTATTGGATTATATACCATTGGAGCACATGTGCTTGGGGACAGAACCGTCCCCCTCAACATGTTTATCACAACTAATTCAATTCACGAATTCAGGAACCCTAACTTCCGACAATGAAAGCCTCTCCATAATAAAAGATCAACACGATTTATAATTTGGAAAATTTCTTAATAATATCAAACATTTTATTCATTATTATTGTTGCAGAATACTTAATTCATAGTTACTGTTATTTGCTAATTTGTGTTGATAAAATATAAAATTTGGTTGTCAAACTCTTGTTACCTCCTTTCAACAACCCATTTTTTTTTGCTTGTTAAAAATCAAAATTTTTTAGGTGAGTTGTATGTAGTTTTTGTTATACTTTTAAAAAGTTGTTATATAATTTTATACTTAAAATAATAACCTTTCTACTGTTTTCTTAAGTCAAATAAATAGCTGTTTGACCGTCACTGCACTACTATCACAAACATAATCGGAACAGATAGAAATGAGATCCTAAATAAAAGTAACAACCAATTAAAACTCAACAATAAATTGGTAATGGTTACAAAATATAATCCCCGAATCAAAGGATTAAAAAAAGGCATCTTAAAATACTGGAACGAAATGCAAACAGACACAAGTGCAAAGAATTATTTACATCGGAACCAATTATAGCTTAAAGCAAAGACAAAAGCATAGGCGAAATAATTATTAGATCACGTTTACCACAAGATCACACTGCTAAGGTGAACCCCTGAAGAGGCAGACCTTAGGGCAAGTTCCCGTAATAAAAACTGCCGAAACACTCTTTACTATATTTCAATATACATTTATGAATGCTTATATTTCCAAGGGAAAAGAATGTCGCAAAGTTTGGTTTAGAGTGTAGGGTCCTAATAAATTTCATGGACAAGTTTGGCTGATTGATGTCTTTATTTTCACAGCTTGTCATGACAATCTTTCAAAATTATACCAGCAGAAAATTTTGTCTTGTTTGCATATTTTTTAAGATTCATTATGTCTAAAATAGAAATATGTGTTAAATGTACTTAAATCTGCTTTTAGCAAAAGTGATTTGTAAAGTTTAGAGTGCTTTTGTGTCCATTAAGCTTTCCATGTTTTAATGATTTCATGATGTAAATATTTTGCAGTATACCTTGATTTTATCTATAAATTTGTCATTTGACAAAAAAGTAACGACAAATCTTTTTTATTATTCAATTAAAAAAGTTTATATATGATACTTTGATATGAAAAGTAATTAATTTTTTTAAAGAGAAAAGATGTACATTTAACTTTTCAGTGAAAAAAGGTGAATGGTGAACTTTTATTATTTCAAAAGATTAAAAAAGATGAACTTTAACAATTGTAAAAGATGGAAAGTTGATATATAATCAACTTTTCAGTGCAAAAGGTGAATGATCAACTTTTAATATTACAGAAGATGAAAAAAGATGAAATTTTGTTCACCTTACCAAAATTTAAAGGTGAAAGTCAACCTTTTGATGTGAAAAAGGTGATGAAAGATAAAGGTTCATCTTTTGTAAACATTTTGTAAACTATTAAATATTATAAAAGTTGACTTTTCGTGCAGTGCGTGGAGCAAGATGTTGGTCCTTTCGATGAGATAATGTACCGTTTATGTCAAAGTGTGTGCGGGGTCAGCTGTCAGAACTTTACGGAATTAACAGTCTTAAAATGCAGTGAGGATTAACAAAAATTTCCTCATAATAATACCATAATAAACAGTAAAATGTATTAAAAAAATATTGATCGAATGTGTTCTCTAGATCTGGCAAGATGTGTTTCGTCGACCCCTCGAACAAAACTATTTGCCTTCGGCCTAACAGTCTCCTGCAAACAGTTTGGATCTTTGGTCAGACAAAATGCATGTTGCCCTAGAACCCGGTCTATGAATGTATAATACTGGTTGCCTCAGACTGATTCTGGTACAATAATTCACCATGCTAAATGTTCACGAAACTGCGAAAGGGGGAGGGGTAAAGGGGGTCTCATATTCTTAGGAACTGTATATAGCTGGGGCAAGGAAAGGGAGGGTATCATGATAATGAAATGTATACAGAGAAGAAATATTTTCGTATTTCCTCTTTTCAAAGTTTGTGATTAATTATTTTTACATTGACACTTCTCATTTTATTTATCCATTTCCAGCGTATTAGGTGATATGCAATTCAGTCCCTTCTTCAGTATTCATCCTGTATATTTACCTATGTGTATTTACCTCAGATTATCCAAAATATTCTCAATTTGACATACTTATTCGTTTGTGTCTGAAGATGTGTTATTTTATAAGATAAATAAAAAAAAATTACGAATGTTATTTGTGAACCTAATCGAGAGAATATACCAGTTAAATTTAACCCCCTTCCCAAAGAAAAAGTCAAGATTTGCCTTTTCTAATTAAAAAATGGTTGATATTATCAAGAAATTTTCCAAATTATAATCGGGTTGTTCTTTTTTTATGGAAAGGCTTTCATTGTCGGAAGTTAAGGTTCCTGAATTCGGGGATTGAATTTATGATATACATGTACGGAAATTACATATTGAGGGGGAAGGTCCTGTCCCCAAGCACATGTGCT